CCAGCCTGGGTAACAGAGCAAGACTGCTTCTCAAAAAAAGAAAGAAACATGGCAAAAAAAAGACTGACCAAAAAAACCCAAAAAACAAAAACAAACGAACAAGCAAAAAAACCAAAACCAGCTTCAGGGATCTATGAGATAATAGCAAACTGCCTAACATACATGTAATTGGAGTTCCAGAAAAATAAGGAGAAAAGGGAACAAAATATTATTTGAAAAACAATGCCTGACATTTCCTAAATTTAATGAAACCATAAACCAACAGATTAAAAAATCCCAACAAACTCCAAGCAGAAGAAATATAAAGAAAATGGCACTGATGCACATGTCAATCAGATTTCTGAAAACCAGTGATAAAGACAAAGTCCTAAAGCAACCAGAATTGAGGGAAGGGTGGAGCAAGATTATGTATAGAAGAACTGAGATAAGAATGAATGACAGAAAACTTCTCTTATTTTTTGAGACAGTCTCGCTTTTCACCCAGGCTGGAGTGCAGTGGTGCTATGTTGGCTCACTGCAACCTCCATCTTCTGGGTTCAAGCAATTCTCCTGCCTCAGCCTTCTGAATTAACTGGGATTACAGGCATGAGGCACCATGCCCAGCTAATTTTTGTATTTTTAGTAGGGATGGGGTTTCACCTTGATAACCAGGCTGGTCTTGAACTCCTGACCTCAGATGATCCACTGCCTCAACCTCCCAAAGCGCTGGGATTACAGGCATGAGCCACCATGCCCAGCCTGACAGAAGACTTCTTGATGAAGCTGCAGCTGGGTTCAGTGGTTTACATCTGTAATCACAGCACTTTGGAAGCCAAGGCAGGAAGATCACTTGAGGCCAGCCTGGGCAACATAATGAGACCTCATCTCTTTAAAAAAAAAAAAAAAAATGAAGGTGGGATAAAAATATGTTTAGATTCGAAATAATCTGAGATGCTCTATTGATATTAATATTAGACGAGCTCTATAAAAATATTATAAAGAAGTTTTCAGGTGAAAAGGAAAATGATACCAAGGTGACATGAGAATTGACACACAGGAATAAAGTAAATATTGGAAAAATACAATATTTTGCTGAATATAAATGATTTTTCTCATGTTTAGTATTCTTTAAAAGATAATTTAAAAATATAAATTAGTGACAAGGTATTGTGAAGCTCATAATATATGGAGAAATAAAATGTATAACAATCACCATAAAAAATGATAGGAACAAGGACGTGGGAGGATACTCATATACAATTCTTTTTTTTTTTTTAAGTTGGAGTTTCACTCTGTCACTCAGCCTGGAGTGCAATGGTGCGATCTTGGCTCACTGCAACCTCCACCTCCAGGGTTCAACCTATTCTCCTCCCTCAGCCTCCCAAGTAGCTGGGATTACAGGTGTGCACCACCATGCCTGGCAAATTTTTTTTTTTTTTTGAGATGGAGTTTCGCTCTTGTTGCCCAGGCTGAAGTGCAATGGCACAATCTTGGCTCAACGCAACCTCCGCCTCCTGGGTTCAAGCAATTCTCCTGCTTCAGCCTCCCGAGTAGCTGGGATTACAGGCACACGCCACGATGCCCAGCTAATTTTGTATTTTTAGTAAAGATGGAGTTTATTCATGTTGGTCAGGCTGGTCTTGAACTCCTGACCTCAGGTGATCCACCTGCCTTGGCCTCCCAAAGTACTGGGATTACAGGCGTGAGCTACCACAGTCTACCTAATTTTTTTTATTTTTAGTAGAGGTGGGGTTTCACCATGTTGGTCAGGCTGGTCTTGAACTCCTGACCTCAGGTGATCTGCCTTCCTGGGCCTCCTAAAGTGCTGGGATTACAGTCATGAACCACTACTCCTGGCATTACAATTCTTTTTGTTGTTGTTGTTGTTTTTGTTTTTTTTTTTTTAGGTGGAATTTCACTCTTGTCGCCCAGGCTAGAGTGCAATGGTGCAAAATTGGCTCACTGCAAACTCTACCTCCTGGGCTCAAGTGATCCTCCCACCTCAGCCTCCTGAGTAGCTGGGACTACAGGCATGCACTACCATGCCCAGCTAATATTTTGTATTTTTTTGTAGAGATGGGGTTTTGTCATATTGTCCAGGCTGGTCTTAAATTCCTGGGCTCAAGCAATCTGTCCACCTTGGCCTCCCAAAGTGCTGAGATTACAGGCGTGAGTCACTGCTCTAGCAGAAATAAGTTTTCTTTTTAAAAATTTTCTTAATTTTTTTTTTGAGACGGAGTCTTGCTCTGTCCCCCAGGCTGGAGTGCAGTGGCAAGATCTCGGCTTACTGCAAGCTCCGCCTCCCGGGTTCATGCCATTCTCCTGCCTCAGAGTAGCTGGGACTACAGGCGCCCACCACCATGCCCGGCTAATTTTTTGTGTATTTTTAGTAGAGACGGGGTTTCACCTTGTTAACCAGGATGGGTCTCAATCTCCTGACCGCATGATCCGCCCGCCTCTGCCTCCCAAAGTGCTGGGATTACAGGCGTGAGCCACTGCGCCCGGCCTAAAAATTTTCTTAATTTTTTAAATGGCTAATTTATTTATTTAATTTTTGAGACAGAGTCTCGTTCTGTCACCCAGGCTGGAGTGCAGTGGTGCGATCTCAGCTCACTGCAACCCCCACCTTCAGGATTCAAGTGATTCTTGTGCCTCAGCCACCCCAGTAGCTGGGATTACAGGTGCACATCACCACACCCAGCTAATTTTTGTATTTTCAGTAGAGATAAGGTTTCACCATGTTGGCCAGGCTGATCTCAAACTCCTGACCTCAGGTGATCTGCCCACCTTGGCCTCCCAAAGTGCTGGGACTACAAGCGTGCGCCACCACGCCAGGCCTGAAATAAGCTTTCAAACAAGAAATATTACAGAAATAAAAGGAAGATTTCATAACTATAAAATTCAATTCCCCAAGAAGATTTTAAAATCTTAAATGTGTATGTACCCAATAACAAAACTTTGAAAAACACAGAGCAAAAACTGTTAGAACTTAAAGGAGAAATGGAGAAAACCACATTTAGAGTTAGAAATTTCAACACTCAATTTTCAGTAATCAATAGAAAGTGGGCCAGGAGTGGGGTCTCATGCCTGTAATCTCAACACTTTGGGAGGCTGAGGCAGGTGGATCGCTTGAGCCCAAGATTTTGAGACCAGCCTGGGCAACATGAACAAACCTGTCTCTACTAAAAATACATAAAATTTCGCCAGGCGTGGTGGCACATGCCCATAGTCCCAGCTACCCAGGAGGCTGAGGTGGGAGGACTGCCTGAGCCTGGAAGGTTGAGGCTGCAGTGAGTCCTGATTGTGCCACTACGCTCGAGCCTGGGCAACAGGGTGAAACCCTGTCTTGAAAAGAACAAAAACAGGCTGGGTGCGGTGACTCACACCTGTAATCCCAGCATTTTGGGAGGCTGAGGCGGGTAGATCATGAAGTCAGGAATTCGAGACCAGCCTGGCCAATATGGTGAAACCCCGTCTCTACTAAAAATACAAAAATTAGCCGGGTGTGGTGGTGCACGCCTTTAATCCCAGCTACTCGGGAGGCTGAGGTAGGATAATTGCTTGAAACCAGGAGGTGGAGGTTGCAGTGAGCCGAGATCACGCCACTGCACTCCAGTCTGGGGGACAAGAGTGAAACTCCGTTTAAAAAAAAAAAAAAAGAACAAAAACAAAAATAAACGAACAAAAAAGAAAGTGGATGAAAAATCAGAAAGCATGTAGAAGATGTCAAAAACTCTGTCAAGGCTGGGCGCAGCGGCTCATGCCTGTAATCTCAGCACTTTGGGAGGCTGAGGCAGGTGGATCATGAGGTCAGGAGTTCGAGACCCACCTGGCCAACATGGTGAAACTCCATCTCTACTAAAGATACAAAAAATTAGCCAGGTGTGGTGGCGGGTGCCTGTAACCCCAGCTACTTGGGAGGCTGAGGCAGGAGAATCGCTTGAACCCGGGAGGCGGAGGTTGCAGTGAGCCAAGATCACTCCATTGCACTCCAGCCTGGGTGACAGGGCGAGACTCCTCTCAAAAACAAAGAAACAAACAAACAAAAACAAAACCTCCGTCAATCACTCAGTTTGCATTTATAGAATATTTCACCCAACAATAGCATAATATGTATTCTTTTCATGTTTACGTAAGATATTCACCAGGATACAATATATTTTCAGCCATAAAACAAGTATCAATAAATTAAAAGAATTGAAATTATAGTGATTTCAGATCAAAGGTAATTGTATTTAAAGAAACTAAAAAAAAAATCCAGAAAACCCCCAAATACTTAGAAGTTAAGCAACACCTTTTTAAATATCCCAAAAAGAGGCCAGGCACGGTGCCTCACGCCTGTAATCCCAGCATTTTGGGAGGCCGAGGTGGTTGGATCACTTGAGGTCAGGAGTTCAAGACCAGCCTGACCAATATGGTGAAACCCTGTCTCTACTAATACAAAAATTAGCCAGATGTCATGGCGGCCACCTGTAATCCCAGCTGCTCAGGAGGCTGCAGCATGAGAATCACTTGAACCTACAAGGTGGAGGTTGCGGTGAGCCAAGATTGCACTACTGCACTCCAGCCTGGGTGACTAGCGAGACTGTCTCAAAAAAAAAAAAAAAAAAAAAAAAAAACCACCAAAGAAGAAATCATAAGGGAAATTAGGAAATATTTTAAGCTGAATGAAAATGAAAATACAACGTATCAAAATTTGTGACATAAAGCTAATGCAGTGATCAGAGGTAAATTATTACTTTCCTCCTCTACAGATTTTCCTGTTGTGGACATTTCACATAAATGAAATCATATATGCGGTCTTTTGTGACTAGCCTCTCAGCATTTAGCAGAATGTTTTCAAGGATCATTCATACTGTAGCATGTATAAGTGCTTCATTTCTTTTTATGGCTGTTATTGTTTGAATGTAGCAAAGGGCTCCATCCTCATGAATTGATTAATGATAATTACAAAAGGACTTATGCCTGCAAGTGCTATCTCTTGCCCTCTCATGCTCTCTTGCCCTTCTGCCTTTTGCCAGGGGATGACACAGCACAAAGGCCCTTGCCAGATGTGAGCCCCTTGATACTGGATGTCCCAGTCTTCAGAACTGTGAGAAATGAATTTATTTTCTTTGTAAATTGCTCAATCTGTGGTATTCTGTTTAGCAACACAAAGCAAACTAAGACAATGTCCAAACAATATTCCATTGTATGAACATATCCAAAGTGGTTTATCCATGTATTAGTTGATGAACAATTTGGGTTGTTCCACCCTTTGGCTATTATGAATATTGCTGCTATAAACATTCATGTCCAAGTTTTTGTGTGGACACATGTTTTCATTTCTCTAGGAATGAAATTTGTGGATCATATGGTAACTCTATGTTAAAGGTTTTTTTTTTTTTTTTTTTTGAGACTGAGTCTCGCTCTGTTGCCCAGCCTGGAGTGCAATGGCACGATTTCGGCTCACTGCACACTCCACCTCCCGAGTTCAAGTGATTCTCCTGCCTCAGCCTCCCGAGTAGCTGGGATTATAGGCATATGCTGCCACGTCTGGCTGATTTTTGTATTTTTAGTAGAGACAGGGTTTCACCATGTTGACCAGGCTAGTCTCGAACTTCTGACCTCAGGTGATCCACCCACCTCAGCCTCCCAAAGTGCTGGGATTACAGGCGTGAGCCACTACACCTGGCCTATGTTAAACTTTTTGAGGAACTACTAGATTATTTTCCAAAGTGGTGTCACCACTTTACATTCTCACCAGGAATATATGAGGGTTCTGATTCCTCCATATCCTCACCAACACTTGTTATTATTAATGTTTTTGATTATAGCCTTCCTGGTGTGTGTAATTGTATTTCATTGTGGTTTTGATTTGCATTCCCTAATGTCTAATGACATCAAACATTTTTCATGTGTTTATTGGCCATTTTGACATCTTCTTTGGAAAAATGTCTACTAAGATCTTTTGCATTTGTAAATTATCCAACCCGTTTGTAAACTGTGTTGTCTTTTTATTATTGCTATATGAATTTAAAAAAAAAAAGTTCTGCTGGTTGTGGTGGCTCACACCTGTAAAACCCAACACTTTGGGAGGCCAAGGTGGGAAGATCACTTGAAGTCAGGAGTTTGAGAACAGCCTGGCCAACATGGTGAAACACTGTCTCTACTGAAAACACAAAAAAATTAACCTGGTGTGGTGGCACATGCCAGTAATCCTAGCTACTTGGGTGGCTGAGGCATGAGAATCACTTGAACCTTGGAGGCAGAGCTTGCAGTGAGCCAAGATCGCACCACTGCACTCCAGCCTGGGTGACAGAGCAAGACTCTGTCTCAAAAAAAAAAAAAAAAAAAAAGTTCTACAAGTCCCTTATTAGATATATGATTTGCAAAACTATTCTCCCATTCTCTGAGTCTTCACTTTCTTGATAGTGTTTTCTGAGCACAAAAGATTTTCATTTTGATGAAGTCCTATTTATCTATTTTTTTCTTTTGTTGCTTATGTTTTTGGTGTTGTATCTGAGAAAACATTGCCAAATCCAAGGTTGTGAAGGTTTAGCCATATGTTTTCTTGTAAGAGTTTTATAGTTTTGGCTTTTTTACTTTTTATTTTTATTTATTATTAATTAAACTTTTATTTTAGGTTCGGGAGTACATGTGAAGGTTTGTTACATAGGTGAATTCGTGTCATGGGGGTTTGTTGTACGGATTATTTCACCACCCAGGTATTAAGCCCAGGACCCAATAGTTATCTTTTCTGCTCCTCTCTCTCCTCCCACCCTCCACCCTCAAGTAGACCCCAGTGTCTATTGTTTCCTTCTTTGTGTTTATGGGTTCTCATCATTTAGCTCCCACTTATAAGTGAGAACATGAGTTAATTGCTTTTTAGTTCCTGTGTTAGTTTGCTAAGGATAACAGCCTCCAGCTCCATCCATGTTCTTGTAAAAGACATTATCTGTTCTTTTTTTTTTTTTTTTTTTTTGAGATGGAGTCTTGCTCTGTTGACCAAGTTGGAGTACAGTGGTGCAATCTTGGCTCACTGCAACCTCCATCTCCCCAGTTCAAGTGATTCTCCTGCCTCAGCATCCCGAGTAGCTGGGGCTACAGGCGTGTGCCATCACGCCAGGCTAACTTTTTTTTTTTTTTTTTTGAGACAGAATCTTGCTCTGTCGCCCAGGCTGGAGGGCAATGGCATGATCTTGGCTCACTGCAACCTCTGCCTCCTGGGTTCAAGCCATTATCCTGCCTCAGTCTCCCAGGTGACTGGGACTACAGGTGTGCCACCATGCCCAGCTAATTTTTTTTTTTTTTTGTATTTTTAGTAGATATGGGGCTTCACCATGCTAGCCAGGCTGATCTCAAACTCCTGACCTCAAGTGATCTGCCCACCTCGGCCTCCCAAAGTGTTGTGATTACAGGTGTGAGCCACCTCTCCCGGCCCATCTCGTTCTATTTTATGGCTGCGTATTTTTTATTATTTTTTAAATTTTTATTTATTTATTTATTTTTGGGATGGAATCTTGCTCTGTCGCCCAGGCTGGAGTACAGTGGTGCAGTCTTGGCTCACTGCAAGCTGCACCTCCCGGATTCATGCCATTCTCCTGCCTCAGCCTCCAGAGTAGCTGGGACTACAGGCATCCACCACCACGCCCGGCTAATTTTTTGTATTTTTAGTAGAGATGGGGTTTTACCGTGTTAGCCAGGATGGTCTTAATCTCCTGACCTTGTGATCTGCCCGCCTTGGCCCCCCAAAGTGCTGGAATTACAGGCATGAGCCACTGTGCCCAGCCTATTTTTAAAATTTTTATTAGAGATAAGGTCTCACTTTGTTGACCAGGCTGGTCTCAAACCCCTGGCCTCAAGGGATCCTCCTGCCTCAGCCTTCCATACTGCTGGGATTGATTACAGGTGTGAGCCACTGTGCCCAGCCAATTTTAGCTTTTACATTTAGGTCTTTGGTCCATTTTAAGTTAATTTTTATATACCATGTGACATGGGAGTACAACTTCATTCTTTTGCATCTGTATATCTAGTTGTTCCAAACCCATTTATTAAAAAAAATTCTTTCCCCCATTGTATAGTCTTTGCACTGTTGTTAAAAAGTCAGTTGAGCACAGATTCATGGGTTTATTTCCAGAATGTCAACTGTATTCCATTGAACTATACGCCCAGCCGTAGGATAAATGCACCTGATAGTAATAACAAGCACAACCTTTCAATAAGCCTGTATAGCAGATGCACCTGAATGTGTGTTCTGAGCTAGGGAATTCAGGAATAGCCAGCCTGGAGGTTTGTTCTTTCTCTGTGAGTAACATCTGCATCTCCAGCCAGTCCCGTGGAACACGGGCCATACAGGGGCTTGAGGCCCTGAGTTATGGGTTAAATGAAGGTTGCCAAGTGGTGATTGTTAAGGGTAGGGTATTGAGTGCAAATGTGTATAAATTACAAAGTGCTTTTTGCAAGTGGTTGTGGTTTTCCTGCCCAACCCACTGCCACTGGATTCTCGCCCCCATATGTAATCCCTCTAATAAAACACCATGTCTCATTTGCTGGCTCTGGGACTCTCTTTGGCCTTTTGAACCTGGTGCCTTCCCAACTGAGGTTAATAGGGGTTCACCACAATATCATCCATATGTCAGTACCACACTGTCTTGATTATTGTTGCTTTGTAGTTGGTTTTAAAATTGAAGTGTGGGCCTTCCAACTTGGTTCTTCTTTTTCAAGATTGTTTCATTATTTTTAATTCAAAGCATTTTTTTAACCTTCTTTATACCAGGAAATATATGAAGGAGAACAAGACACGAATGGTCAGTCAGGAAGGAGATGCACTTAAAAAAATTAACAATGTGGTGGAGATTCTGATAGGGGAACTGTCGATGTTTATAACAACATCACAAGGGGATTTAGCCAAATCTGGGAATTGTAAAACTATGGCTGAAGAGACAAGACTGATAGCTGCTGGGCGCAGTGACTCATGACTGTAATCCCAGCACTCGGGGAGGCTGAGGTGGGCAGATCACTTGAGGTCAAGAATTTGAGACCATCCTGGCCAATCTGGTGAAACCCTGTCTCTACTAACAATACAAAAATTAGCTAGGCGTGGTGGTGCCTGTAATTCCAGATACTTGGGAAGTGGAAGCAGGAGAATCATTTGAATTCAGGAGGCAGAGGTTGCAGTGAGCTGAGATCGTGCCACTCCATCTCAAAAACAAACAAACAAACAAACAACAACAACAAAAGGCTGAGAGCTGGGAGAAGGAATAATATAACCAATATAATAATATAACCAAAATAAGAGGAGAATATACCACACACCACATTCCAAGTAGGGGGAATAGCTTTCTTGAATCGTGGAGGTGAGGTATGGCTGTAACAAGGGAGAACAGGGTTCAGAAAAGCTTTAGCAGAGAATGCAAGATGAGAGTGGTAAAAGTTCAGTCTGAAGAAGGAAAAGCAGAGACCTGCTTTTTTTTTTTTTGAGACAGAGTCTTGCTCTGTCGCCCAGGCTGGAGCGCAGTGGTGCCATCTCGGCTCACTGCAACCTCCGCCTCCAGGAGTCAAGCAATTTTCCTGCCTCAGCCTCTGAGTAGCTGGGATTAGAGGTGTGTGCCACCATGCCCGGCTAATATTTGTATTTTTAGTAGATGCGGGGTTTCACCATGTTGGTCAGGCTGGTCTCGAGCTCCTGACCTCGTGACCCACCTGCCTCAGCCTCCCAAAGTGCTGGGATGACAGGCGTGATCCACAGCGCCCAGTCAAGAGACCTGCTTTTTATCACAAGGATGATGAAGAGTCATTTTCAACATTTAAAGAATGATGGGGAGACATAATCATTTTACATTTAGAAGGCTCGCTCTGGCTGTAGAGTGGAAAATGGCTAGAAAGGCGGAATCCTGAAGGAAGGGACACAATTAGGGGTCTTTTGAAGGAAAAGATGATGCAACTTGAACTGTGATGGTGGCAGGAGCATAGAGAGGAGTGGAAAGACTGTGAGACACTTCCTAGGGAGTGTTTACAGGACTTGATTATTCCCCAGAGGTGAGAGGGAAGGGAGAGAGGAATGGAAGCTGGCTCCTAATTTGTCATAATATGAAACTTTGAGCATGTTGT